AACATCATATATACCAGTTGATTTTCAAAAAAGTAAAGGTCAACCTGGTGGACATCTAAAGCCCCATAACACTAGAAGCACACGTTTACAAGAACTATCACTAATGAATAGTACATATTTCGGTAATATCCACTATGATATTCACTTAGATATGAAATTAGACTACACAATTAGCCGAATTTTTCAAGAAATGTCACTCTCTGAATTAGAAACACTTCACCAACTATGCGAATTAGAAAGGACACAAATCCTACAATCACTTGCACTAGCAGTATTAAAAATACCCTACGCAGGATATTTACTATCAGGAAATAGATCAAATTTTTTAGACTATGAAGGAAACATTTTATGGTTTTATACTTGTACCAAAAAAGTATCACCACTATATGTTTTTGAAGATAAACGATGCTATAAAAGAATCCCTATCTTTTATAAGAATAAAGTACATTTCGTTGACACACTTTCAAGACGAACCTATTTCTGGGATACCGCAGTCCCATGTGGATCAGAAAATAGCCACAATGTAGTACAACTAAACCCTGATGAAGATAAATATTACCTTCTTACCCCATATCCCACATTAATGCAATCACTCAAAAAATTTTCACCTGAAAGCATTAGAGCTATTACTCGAAACCCAAATATTGACCTACAATCAATTGGAATATATTCAAAATCCGATATCCAACATCACATTAGAACACAACAATTCCAAGAATTATTAACACAAATGGACACTATACAAAGACAATCAATTGACCAAAACTTACGCAAACTTGCCGAAACCGCAGGATTTGCAGATATTTATACACAAGACTATAGCGGATATTTTAAAGACATTAAAGACTATATATATATCTAAACGGTGAAAAATAACGACCACAATATATCTCACCTATAAATATTTTTAGCTTTATTACACTCAAAAATGAAATTCTTGATTTTCTAGGATGGCCCTATTACATCTTAGAAAAATTAACTATTTTATAAGCAATGTTTAGCTTTATTACACTCAAAAATGAAATTCTTGATTTTCTAGGATGGCCCTATTACATCTTAGAAAAATTAACTATTTTATAAGCAATGTTTAACTTTATAGGATTTCTTTTTTCACTTTTAAAAGGAATCTATAATACATGCGCTATACACACACAAGTAAATAGACAAGCAAGTGTAGCACGCATACTATTTGCAGGATTTTTTGGAATTTTTTCTTCATCAATAAACAAAATTCTTTTAGACGCACAAATAAAAGAATACAACACAAAAATAGCAACAAGACAGAACACATATGACGAAGAACACAACAATGTAGAAATAACGCCTACAGCACCACAGTTACCACCCCTACCACATAACCATCCATTATCCCTAGTCCCACGAAATTTTCGAAACTTAGCAATAACACATAATCCAAATTCTAGACCAACCATATCACAAAGCCCCATTCAACATATAATGACACATCATTCACTAGATGAAAATACATATGAACAAATTATAGAACAACCCCATACCACCGCTTTTCAATCTCAAAATAATAATTTTTTTAGCCCACGATGAGCCGACAACTTGGATCAGTACACCGCTCAAATTCCCATCCAACCAACCTCAACACTCCAATTACAATAATTCCACTTTTTGCTTTCCCGCCACCCGATTTCCCAACCAATAATGTAACATCAGGCATGAATTCAGACACTAATTCAAATATTTCAGTTTTATACTCCATTTCACAACTCAATAACCCTAATATTGAAACCCCTGATGAATTTGCAGACTCTGAACCATCTCCATCCAATAATTTTCCAACCAACTCCTCAGTTTTTTCAAAACCCCCTTTTCAACCAATCCCATCAAATCACCCACTCCCATCCATTTCTACACCCTCTTATGCTTCACAAGTCACCCCAACCTACTCTTCATTTCATTCAGACCGATCATCCAATTCTCCAGACACTTCCCAAATCTCCCAAGAACTAGATAATTTTATCACCCTACAACAACAACCCTTCCACCTTGAAAACCCCACTATAAATCAGATTTCATCCACAATAGAATCATCAAACCCACCTACCCCTACACCCTCTTCAGCTTATACCGCATCATTAGCACCATCATCCACATCCACCGAATCATCAAATAGCACTAATAGAGCTTATCGCACTTTCAAAAGAAAATTCCCAAACCATCCATTTCCAACAAAACCAGGAACAGCCCGTGAATATATTAATCATCCAAATCACACTAACACGAAAGATTTTTTAGCAATCACCCTACCTTCATTTCCACAATATACCTTGAACACCCCTAACGACACTAACGACACACGTAGTTTTGTAGATGAACAAGTTTTAATGCCTACACTTCATTGGACATCATATTATCATTTTACTAACCCCCTTTGCTTACCACTATCTAATACTCACATCGATATAGAAAGAAATCAAAATATGCTATATCGACTCACCACACCACTAACACATAGAAAATTTACTTATATAGGATATAAAAAGTCACTAAAAACACACACTGCACCCCGAGCAAACGAATATACGCTAGAATATTACGATCACAACATCATCCGAGCTAACCAAGACCAATTTTTAGATGATGATCGTTTCGCTAACCCACAAATCACAGAAAAATTCTTCATAAAAACACCATATGTATTTACACTCAATATATTTGATCGCAAATTTGACCACATCATTTCTGAAGCACTAACCGACATGCAAGCTTACGAAAGTTTTAAAGAAAAATTTCAATTATTTTCACTAACCTTCAATTTCCTTGCACCACAAGAACGCGATTTGCACTGCTCACACGACATCATGTTACGCACTAAACAAACCCACACATACATATTATCGCTTCATCCAAAATCACTTTGACCTACACACTCCATCAAGACAACCACACCACCGTTTTCAATTTATTAACTCTAAATACACATCACCATTTTTTCTTAACTTCACATATTGCATCAAAGATACTAACCTTCACGGTATTCTTCGCAATTATGATCCCATAACCCAAATGTATATTTTTGTCCCATCACAGAGACCTTCAACGCAGAAGAATCCAGACCCTTCCTTATCCCACATGAATTTGTCCAACCTATAGAAATCCCGATATTAGAATTCATCCACAACACTAAATACAATCACAAATTATATAATCTCATCCAAAACACACCTTATGAGTTCGCAGTTGGCACTGAAGAACTAAAAACTATTAAAGCACTTCAATTGCTTTGGCCACTGCTTCAAACTAAAAACATCATTCGCATACTAGCAAAATTACTAACAAATTCCGACATAATCCACGACATCTTCCCCCACGGTTTTTTCCCCGATGACTAAAAGGTAAGTATAATTTCTATATATTCTTCACTAATAAATTCAAATTAAACACTAACCATTCTTTATCCATGTCTTATTTAGATTTTTAGTCTTCATCCCACGATCATCTGCAAAAAACACAAAAGAAAAATAAAAAATAGAAAACTTTTTCAAATTCTTCTAAACTCTATTAATATTTTGCACTAGATAAATTCAATAAAATTAAAACCAATGTAGTAAATTAATTTATAAATTATTCCCCCAAAAGCAGTAATTCTAATAATGATGAAAATTTGTAACTTAATTTTTCCCCAAAACTAGCAGTAAAATTGAAATTCTATGTAGTAAATTGATAAGAAGAAAATGCAGTACTAACCTTTTGATATTTCCATTCACCCGCACAAGAATTCTATCCAAACTCGCACAGCTCGCCCACGAAGAATTGTTTAAATAATGAATTTTAGTTTCAAGTTTTCACACTCAACAACTCTAACATACGATAACACGTTTCAAACTTTCCTTTAACCCGGTTGGAAAGGAATTATATACTAAACAAAACTAACCAATGCAGCTTACTAAACACCACAAATCATAGAATAACAGCATGACTAAGAAAAGGAAACCAACGGTACCCAAACCGGATTAACCCAGTTTAAAACTGGATAATTTATTCTTTGGAAGACTATTATAAAGTCTAAGAAAGAAATAATAAAACACAAAAAAGTCGAAAGACAAACCCATACCAAAAACAATTTGATTTTTGAAAAAAGGACACAACAAACGAAACATAAGAAAAACCATAATAAACCCAACATAAAAAGTTATCACATAACAGGACCTCTCACAGAAACCGCACGAAATCATACTCCCACTCCTGGCCTAACCCACCAGAGAGGATGTCCTGAGCATGCTCTATAGCCGGCCTAACCCACCGCGCTACATCCACGCTTTGTGACCACACTTCTATTTTTAATAAGAGGTACTCAAGGGTGAGTAACTCTTCAAAATAACCGAACTAAAACAAAAAGCTTTTGTGAAAACAACTAACCAAAATCATAACTAAAACACCGAACTAATAAAAATTTTATAAAATGTAAATTATACTTTGCAGTATATAGACCAGCATACAACACCAAAGACGAACATTTAAAGACAAAATGACCCCACTACACTCGAAAAAGAATGACCAACCACAATCAATATGCCGTCCACAATCACAACTCAAAGGATTTAGAGTACGACTTGACTTCGCAGAAAAGGACTTCATTGAAATAGACCAATGACCACCTCGATGTTCAAGTATACGTACAGATCCGAGTAACCAAGCATCCCCCTCCACGCACAATCTCCACGCCATTCCCAGACTAGGTTGAACACAAAGGAAGTTCTCTACATGAAACAGAAAAACCTGTCATAGCAAACCATTCTGAAACCAGATTTTAGTTTGTTGAGAAAACCCAGTCATTGTCATAAGAAGACACAACGATCGATCCTGGAACTTCTCTAACAGGAGAACCCAGAAGAAATATGATGTTCGCCAAATACCAACGTCCATCATCCATCCTTTGAATTGCAGAAAAACTATTCTAAAAAACTCTGTAAAACCCGGATGGGTGGAACCTGATCTAAACTACATTTTATGATTGGAAAATAGCTCAATTCAGTATTTGTTTGAATAAAGACCCTCAACAGTTTCAGATGAATTTCTCGATAATGAAATCGTCTCCAAAACTTTTTCGAGTAGCTTCGTCAAACTTCGCTTCAGACTCTTTCGAGAAAAGATCCTTCCACCCTCCTACCTGACCCTTGTTGATCATAAAGCCTGTTTTAGCAGAGCCCTCTTCGTATTTTTCGGTCATCGTCTCAACTGAGGTCAAAAGCTGAAGGTCATTCATGGAAGTTGCATTTAGGCGCGGTAAGCTTATAAACTAGTCTTTTTTTATGAGTCCGCCCTGATTTTTTCAAGATGCATTGAGAAAAGCATTTTGAATAGCATTGAGAAAAAATTTTAGCTCTATATAAACTATGCGAATAAAAATTTTCAATGCTACCAGTTTTTCAGGGGCTGTTAAACAACCGAAAAAGCCAAAATTTTACTCGAAGTTATCGATAACTTAAAAAAAATGTGATTAAATTTTAAAACACAAAATTTAAAATTAAAGATCTTTCGAACTAAATCGGCGAACAGATCATTTGATTACATTGAGCAGTTTATCATTAAAATAATTAGAATAATGCGTTCATCAGGATTAAGTAGAAAGTGTATTCAAAGAGTTTCAGATGAACATACTAAGCAATTTTTAAAAAGTTCTTTTGAAACAATCATTTTTTCAAATACCTAAACTTTTTGCCACTATCTCTAAATTGGTAAAATTTTTATACTCCGCTTGTATTTCAATTTTAAAAAAAAATAGAAACAAATCTAGGAGTTGAGAACGACAAAGCATCGGACCAACTTCTGCAGGAGATTAAGAACTAAAACATAATGACCATTTTCTTAACAAACTGGATTCCTAACCAATGTCAAAACATTCAAAAAAAGACAGAACAGGTCATGTTTTTCACAATTGGATTTAATAGAATAAACAAAGGAAGACACTATAAGACGAAAAATCACAAATGATGATTTTAACCTTTCTTAAGTGTTTTAAATATTTGACTGGGACATGCACACACTCGGAAAAACCATAAAAGGACGTGAGTCAAAAAAATAATAGTCATCCAGTCGGTAACCGCTAAGAGAAAAAAGACTACTTTTGTTTTAAATTTCAATTTCCAATTTTTACTATCCAATTTTTTTGAGTCTATTCGTCTACTTGAAAAAATCAAAAAAATTCGAAGTGCTAAAAGTTTACTGCTATTTAAAATACAGTAAGCCACCTCCACACTAAAAATCACTCGCATTAGCACTATCCAACTTCTGCGTTGACTATTCAAATTTCACCCATACTTTAGTAGCGAATCCAGGCAGCAGTAGAAGCGCATCAATAAAGCGGATAAAGATAAGCAATATGGAATCACCTAATAAAAACTTAACTGCACCAAAAAACGGAACATGGCACTTGGCACTTTATTTGAAACAAAACAACTGATCTTAAAACACAAGCGCTGTTTATGCAATAACAAGAATAGCCGTTTGTTGTGCAAGTGGCACAGAATATTCCACCCACACAAATAAGAAAGCTTTAAAAATTTCAACTTTGGTTCGTTTTTGGGACAAGATATGATAATATGAACTAGATTAAAGCATAGAATGAGGGAAGCTTAGACATAAGCGACTAGAGCTATCTACGGAAAAAGGAGTAAAACTTTTTAAAAAAATTCAAAAAACTGTTTGAAAATTGTATCTATTTTTTTACAGATTGTTTGAAAATTTTCTAAGCTTTTCAATGACAAGGAAGCGTTAAATGAAGCTTCGAAAACTCGTTTGTGTGGAGTAAAACTAAGATTTTCATGGTTTAGAACAAAAATTTTCCCATTAACACCTCGCTGGCTTTCCGGTTTTTATCAAAACATATCACTTTTGGCAAAATTTCAATATCGTTCAAATAACGACTGAATGGCTTCAAAATTATAGATTTTTCGACATATTCTGAGGATTAATTCTGGCGCCTGATTTGTCGTGGAAAACAAAAAAAAACACCGAAAGACAAAGTTCGTACCCAATGTCACTGGTCGCAACCAAAAACAGAATAAAATCATCTAATTGCCGTAATTATCAAAATGAGTCAAATCTTTGGAAACGAAATCAGAAACGGACATTTTGAGCAATTTCTTGAGTATTTAAACCCGCGATAAAAAACTCCATTTTGTAGATATTTTTCTTCCGACAATAAAAATTTCCTAATAATAAATGCTTTATAAATATTTTGCATATCTTTGCGCTATTATTAGTCACAATGCTGGAAATTCAAATTATTAAACTTTTCAAAATATTTTGCATTTTTTTGAGCTTTTATTAATCATTATGCTGGAAATTTGAATTATTAAAATTCAAATTAAATAATTAATTAAACTTCAAATTCTACAAGTTGACAGACATCATCAGACGTTTTTCAATTTTCAAGCGGATCAAACAAGTAAAGTGAATACGTAGGGCGGACTAATAAAATTACCCAAGGAAAGAATTAATTCTGTCGATAGTTTCATTGAATTGATGACGTAAGTCCTCGTAGTGGATTAACAGATTGTTTTCCGGATATTCCCTGAAATAGGACAACCAAATAAAACCGCATACTTTTTCATGTTCCAGGTTGCTGCCTTATCGCCTCCTTGGCAAGAGTAGGGTAAAATGAGAAATACACGGCCTTAAAAATGTTCTGCTATGCAATCTGCCACGAGATCCCCTCTCTAGTCTGCCACGAGATCCCCTCTCCTTCACTTTACAAGCACAACTAGTTATAATTTTTATTAAGGAAACATTAATTTAGTTGGGTAAAAAAGGGAAAATATATTCACGAAAATCAAAGTATATAATACCGACAAACATCCACCCAGTCTCTTGTCCACCTCCACCAACTTCCGTATATGACGTCACCCTCCAGAAAATGATCCAGAAACTGATCCAGGTTATCACTTGTGCAAAATTTCTGGTAAATTGGATTGTTCCGGTAAAACTTGTCCAAACTAACCGCTGTATCCTTTGGATTTCTAAGCACAACTATATTTTTTCTTTTCTGAGAAAAAATTTCCTGAGGCGCCAAATGAGTAGGCAAATGATGTTTGAAAAGTCGAGGGCTTTCAGTCATCAATTTCACTCTTTCATAGCCAAATGTTCTAGACGATGGAGCTTGAAATTCCAAATAAGGAAAAAGCAAGCCCAGATCAGAAGGTCCACTGTTTCTCAGCTTGTCCAGACCAAAAACTAGTCCAATTAGGATGTTTTGGGTCCATGTTGTTCCAGTTCTAGGGTAAGTTGACAGATATATGTCAGTTGGATTTCCGTGAAAATTTCTGGTTTTTAAGATAGATTCTCGAGAGAAGGATCCTTGGAATAAAACGCCCTCGAGCGTGAAAGAATTTTGAAGAAGTTGAGTCATCTATATCTTAAACTAGAGTAGGACGCAACAGGGATAGATTGGCAAACAGATAAAACACCTAATCTAAGTAAGTTTAATAATTATGAATGGAACTGTTCACAAGTTTGTTGGAACACTCAAATAATTATATAAATACTGATACTTTCAAGAATTTTGTACTACTTAAATCAGTAATCACCTTGAACGATTTTTCAGTAGTTGAACTAAATTAACTCAAATCTTGACAAGAAAAGTATCATCAAAGTCTACTGGATATAGTTTTCACTGCCAAATCTTCATAGCTTCATCACTCTAACATTGAGAAACTAGAATTCTATTTCAATTTAGGAACACTTTGAATTGAAAGTCCCACCATATTTATCGTAGCTAATTGTGTTTCCAGATTTTCATCAGCTTTTCTCGGGGAAGGAGGCTTAAATAGTCTTCAAAAAACCTCCTTTACCAAGCACCACAATTAATACAATTATCTAGGTATTCTAGTTAGTGGCTCTCATCTCAGTAAGGTCGATCTGTCCCCAAATCTTCACGCTGAACAAAATACGGTATCGACAGAACTTCTGACTGCACAAAAATAAGCCCATTGAGCATAGTCACTGCAGAATCGAAATCTTGCGACTGAAAGAGCAGCCAAACTCTGGGTACGCAATCCATATCCCAGGCTCAACAAAAAAGTGAGCTCACCAATCATCTCACAATATAGTTAATAATCCAGATACAGTCACGGGAAAAGAAGCAGCAGTTTTTAGTTTTCAAAACCGAGCGAATTAACTATCACTTTCTTCACGTTTTTCGCTGCAGCTATTTAAGATATTGGGTTGAAAATTTGTTAGATGGTTGATAAAACTATTTCATAAGATATCCACAGATATGAAGAAAATGTTTGAAAAGCGTCGGCCAGTTGATTTTAACTAGTTGGAGAGGTCTTCCTTTTGTAGAAACATCCTTAAAACAGTTTATTGCGTTAAATTTTTGAACTTGAAAAAAATATTCCAACTCTCTGACTGTAACAAATTTCAAACCAATAAACCACTGAATTTTATGAGAAATTAACGAAGATTTGCCCGAGACAATGGAAAACGGTGGAAAATACAACAAGACTGCTCATATATCAAGGTAAAGCCTGACTTTTCCGACAGCCTCTCATTTGGTCTCGAATAGTTTCGGTCAAAAAGTTTTGATAAAAAATAAGTTTTGCACTGGCCATATCAAATTCGAGTGCTGAAGTTGATATGATCAAATATAGTTGACCTCAATTCATTTTGGAACAATTATGAATGCGGATGCTTTGCCAGGCATAAATAATTGAAGTATTGAAACTATCGAAAAATTATTCGCGCAGCGTTGCCGTCCGCATTTTAGTCTAGTGCAAGCATGCTCGCTTGGCAATCCAAATATTTCCGAATCAATACCCATACGCTGTCAGCGTTTGTAAAATCTGTCTGAAATACAAAACAAAACTACCCCAGGCAAATATATTCCTCATTTTCTCCGAAAATCGGAACAAGACTGCTCCTATCAAGAAAAAGCTCTGAATGATTCGACTGCCCTATTAAGTGTATGTAATGTTCAATTTATAAAAAATGTGATGAAACTTCATCAAACAAAATTTTGAGATTTTTTGAATCTCATTCCCTCACACGCCATATAAAATACAAGGTGATACATTTTACTATAGTAACGGGGAACAATTTAGAAAAATTTCGGAGCCGGATTAAATCATCGATTACGCGTTATAGAACGGAATATATCGCCCTTTGAAATAATTGCAGTTTAAAGAATTTTTTCTAAAATGAGCTCGAGACAAATAGCTCTCTATACTTTTGAGATGGTAAAAATGATTTCCTTCAAAGATTGCCAGTTTGAAAGTCAACTTCGTCCGAAAAAAAACCACCGCGAGCACAAATATTCCGTCATTTTCTTCGATAGTCGAACAAAACAGAAAAACAAATATTATTTAAAGCCAACATAATGATGGAAAAAAGTCAATTAACGTAAGGAAACGGAAATTAATTACTAACTTCGAAGTACCAACTATATTTGACTTTCAAAAAAATTATGATTGACACTTTTGTTTGATAAATTGAACACATTTTGAAAAAAAAAAACGAGATAAAAAGGTTAAATTTTGGAATGCTTTGCTGAAACAAAAACTCGAGCAATATAAACAATTTAAATGCAAGAAAGTAACATTCAAACCTCGAAAAATCAAACGTGACCGTGAGCATAATTTACAATTTTTTCTTTAAAAAATCATCACGACCAATATTAGAGTCTTCATTAATTTCATCGACCATCTTTTACCACGCTGCAACTTTGATGACAAAATTGTCATAAAAGCAACTTAGCCGTATAAAAACAATTAAACAAGGACATTCTTATCGCTGAAAATCGGTCATTATTTTCAAAGAATTTCATTTATTAACCAAAAAATTCGTTCACCACTAGCACTCAAATACAATACATTGAACAAAAACGACTAAGCATGTATAAAAAATTGTTGAAATTTTTTTTATTACATTAAGATTTAGTGGAAAAAAGCTGTTTCAATTTCCACACAGACGCGAAGCTGAGCTTCGCGTTCCTTGCGATACAAAACACAAAAGCCGCTAAGTCGGAAAAAATTCGAAAAAGTCGAACTAGATTCATCGATAAGGCTAGGTTTGAAACAACAATACCCTCAAACAAACAAACCCCCCCCCCCCCCCCAAACAAGTCCCCCATACGCTCAAACAAACAAACGAACAAACACACACACACACAAACTTTAATCACGAGTCAAATGAAAGAAGTCCCCCATACCCTCAAACAAACAAACAAACAAACAAACACACACACAAACTTTATTCACGAGTCAAATGAAACAATATGCGGCACTATGCCGATATAATATTGGCCAAAACGTGTTAGTCGAAAAAAAAATAAAAAAACCAAGCCGAAAAAAAAATTAAGACAACTAATAATTACTAAGTCCCCCTCGACCTCAAAGCAAATACACAGCTGGTCAAACAACGCAACATGTGGCGACTAAGCCGATGTAATATAGGCCAAAACCTATCAAGCCGAAAAAAAGAAAAAGCACAAAAAAATCAAAACTAATAAGAAGTTTTTATGTCCTCCTCGCCCTCAAAACACAGACACGCACACAAGAACTTTTTCCCCATCAAAAGACAAAACATGCGGCCCGAAAAAAAGCCAAGAAAATTGTTGTCATGAAAATCTTGGACTATATTTTCTATTAAGACTTTCCAGCATTTTAAGCGATCCTGAGTAGAACATAAAAACTATGTTTTTCTTGGAAGCCCTCCAAATCAGGTCACTAAGCCGATATAAATGGCAAAAATAGGCCCGAGCCTACTTAGCCGAAAAAAGGACAAAAAAACAAAATTTTAACAAAGCGAATTGGAAAAAGACGGATACTTAAAATTACAAGCTCAACCATGCTTAATATTGCAACCGAGAGGAGTAGAAAAGAGGACGAAGAGAAGAGAATTAGTGAAGAGGATGTGATGTGTGAAAGAGTCCAGAAGTGAGTCCCGTGGACAAAAGTTTTACGGGTAAAAAGTCTAGTACCCGATTGCAATACCCTTGCTATCGCAAGGGTAATAAATTGTTCAGTTTCGGTAAAACCTACGGTGCTTTGTTCCTCGGTGCTTTGTTCCTCAAAAGAAGCCCAGCTGAAAAAATTTAACTCAAATCTCTCACAACAGACAGCAAAAACCGGATACAGTCTTCATCCCGAACTATATAGCCAAACAAAAATTTCGAGGGAAAACTTGTTTTCTATGATTAAAACATGCGCAAACAAGGAAACACACACAATTGAGCCGATATGACTGTTCCATAACACCGCTTACAGACCCACCATTAAAGACTTAAAAACAGAACTTAGTGACAACTGTACTCAGGCGATCTGAGCTTCGCACAACTTGCAACACAAAACAAGAAAGCCGCTAAGTTGAATTTAAAAAAAATCGAAAATGTTTAAAACCTAGATTTATTAAAATGAACTATTAAGTCACACTCACCCTTAAAAGACAAGCACACATAACTTTCTTTGCTTGTCAAATACAAAAAATGAGGTCATTAAACCGATATAATATAGGCCGAAAAAAAATTGCCGGAAACAAAAATAAAAATTAAGACTAAAAAGTTTATTTATTCCCCCTCACCCTCAAAACATGTACCCGCACAACTTTTTTGCTTGTCAAAAGACGCAAAATCAGTCACGTAAGCCGATTTGTTATACGCCTAAAGCTATCAAGCGGAACAAAAAGGCAATGAAAAAAGCCGAAAAAAATATTATAGAAAACTCTAAATGCCATTAAGATTTTTAGAAATTTGTGCTATCCAGAGGGGAGCATTAAAAATGTTTTCCTTGAAACTGCTCAAAAATAGGTCACTAATCTGATAAAAACTATGCCAAAATCAATTGGGCAGAAAAAAATTTTCAAGTTAAAAAACAAAAGAAAATATAAGTTGTAAAAATAAGTGAAATTACAAATAGCAGAAATACAATCAAAACATTAAAAGCAACTACAATATAACTTGCGTAAGGCAAAAAAATTCTATGATGTGGAAACTAAGCCGACGAAACATAAGCAGGTAAATAATAAGACCATTTTTTTGAAACTGAACTTGCCGTTTAAGAAAACAGGTCCTGTCAGATTCGAACCTAAAAACATTGCCGCCCCAACTTATTCGTTACCTCCAGAACAAGCGTACCGGAGACGCAAATAAATTTGAATTTATAATGATGAGAGTCTAAATTTACCATTTCCAATTTTGACCATTCTGTGAACAAAGTTATTTACGGAAAAAATTCCAGTACACGATTGCAATACCAATGCTTATCGCAAGGGTAAAAGAGTAATGGACTCGGAGAAACAGAAAAAAAACTGACTAAATCGAGTTCTTAATAAAAAAAATAACCAAAAAAGTACGATTGGTGTTTTTTGATAAAACTAACCCCATTCGAGAAAACTGGATCAATAAGTAATTCCAATAGATCAATTTTTATTCCGCTGGGAGATCTATAAATTAAATTCATCTTTCGACACTAGAAGTTGTTCACGTTTTTTGCGGCATTTCCACGTTTGTATGGGAGAGCGCTATCTACGTACTTTTCAGCAGATGAATATCAATTGAAATCAAAATAAATACCCAAGTGCAATCATAAATGCATTAACATGTATAAATGCACATATGTAGTAATTAGAGTATTTCAAGACTTTCACCTGAAAATAAAACTAAAAAGAAGTCACCAAGACCT